AGATTTGTTATTTTTTCTGCTGCTCAGCAGAATAACAGATGAACTTAATCGAAACACCTGAATAAAAGTGACATCCCAACCAGACAGGTGTCCAGAAGTCAGTCAGGAATCATCCGCCTCGTCCACCTCTGCAGCCTTTGTGTCGTCTCACTGAGGATTCCTCCAATCTGGGAACTGGTGGGTGATTTGACACCCCTCGTCTCTTCCTTCCTACTTCACTGCATCCGGCCAATCAGTACACAGAAAGACCTGGTCACATGGTGTGTCCCCCGCCCCCCTTCCTGGTTGCCATGACAACGAGCCCTGGTCCAGGCAGCATCTTGCTGTGGTGAGAAAGAAGAGCAAGAGAAGAGGAGGCAGACGGAGAGGAAGGAGGAAAATCGAACGCTGCAAGCCGGAGGGAGGGAAACCTTTTTGGATCCGATGCCTGTTCCCGTTTTCCCTCCATGCTGTAAGTCTGTCCGTTCGTCTCATCCAGCCACAGCTAACCCAGATGACTGACTCGGATCCACTTATTGAGATAAATATCCGATGGTGCGTCTTTAAGGATTTTGCAGGTGACATCATGTGAATTTTTTGTGATCCACTGAGAACGCGGCGCGCCTCACCTCACCTCAGGGAGATGGCCTTTGTTTGTGTGCTTTAGTCAGTGTCCTCTCATCCTTAATGACAGATCTCTATAGTGAACAGAGGCGTGGTGAGATCAAGCAGCTCAGCTCTGATAAAGGCACTTCCATAATGTGGTGAATCTCTCTCTGATGTACTGTGATCTGGCAGCAAGTGATTTAGCCTTTATTTTCATTCCTGCTGCTTTAAACTGCTCTCTTCCTCTCTCTATCCAGTTCACTCTCACACAAGCAGACCTGTTTGCTTCTCTGCATCCTCCTGTGGTTCTGTTTAATTAGCAAATCCGTGCAAATCCAACTAGGGCAGCTTGTTCTGATTGGAGACCTCATATGTAGAATGTCCTTGTGCTGCTGGAAACAGGGATTTCCTGGCTTAAAAACACTTTTGGAGTTCAGACGTTTTAAATTGCGCTTCAGCTGGAGCCTTTTTTATTAGATTGTAACTGACTGCATGTACAAACATTATTTTCCTGATAAGAAGACATTTTTAGAGTTTCAAAAATGTGAAGTTGTTTTTACAGAGATATATAGTTCAGTTTGACATCAGTCTGCAGTAAATGTTACTGGAAGGCACTGAGCAAGACAAGCAGGTCAAATCCAGATCCGGTTTTGGGTCCAGACTGAATTTGCATCTGCAGTCCCTTGACAGATTACAAAAACTAATATACAATGTAAAAATAGAATAAAGCAGAAAATATAACACCCAGCAGATACAGGCTCATTGTGACCTTCTGTTGGGACTAACTGGGGTGGACAGGAAAGAAAACAGCCACATGAAAAAAAATCACATAAAAACGCAAAAGCCTCTACTAGAAAGTCAGGTTTCACTCTATCTGGTTAATGCTTGGCTCAGTTGGGTCTCCATTAGTAGTGTGTTCCTCTCTTTATAGGTGTGAATTGGGACAGGAACGTGTGCGGGCTGCGATGGTGTCATTTCGGGTCTGTGCTCTTGGGCAGCCAGTTTAACTGAAATCTTTCAGTATAATTGTTCGTTGTGGGTTGCCTTGTCCAGTTGTCGCCGATTGGGCAGGAATTTGGTTGGACCATGCACATGCAGGAGCTCTGATCAATGGTCCAATGTGCTGCTCACCATCTTGGCAACTATACTGTCTCTTTGCAGACTGGTTGAAATGTTCAAGGAGAAAGGAGAAACCAATCGACTAATGCAGCTGGGAAAATGGAAGTAAATTTGGCTGAAGCTGACTGAGGAAGCTTGTTTACCAGGCACACTGTGCCATTTTATAGCACAATGAAGTAACTATGTTGTTAAAAATATGACATATATATCAGAAATGACTTAAAAGAAACCTTACTTTGTAATTTAGCATCTTTTAATTGGGCCTACGTCTCTTTAGAAACTCCTACTTTTTCTGAAACTCTGCCTTCAGCAACTAATCATAACATGGCTCCTCTATTTAACCTTTAACAACATTTTTGCCAGTGTTTCACTGAGAAGTAGCTAAAGGAATGATCTCAGCAGATGTGCACTTCCCCTAGGTGTTTGCTAACTGCTGCTGGCTAGTCTGAAGGAGCTGAGTGGGGGAGTCTCTCTGGAGAAGGGCTGCTCTCTGAGGCAGAAACCCAGAAGCTTGAGGAGAAGGCAGAGGGCGGAGCTAGGTCCACCCAGCCGTTTAGCACAGCTGAATGGTTGCCATGGAGATTAAAGGATTTCTCAAACACATATGAAAGAATCAGGTATATTTTTGATGAAGGGATTAAAATGATGTAAATCCATAAAAAAGTAGGTTTTACATGACACTGCCCCTTTAAAGCAGCAGGAGCTTTGATACACACACAGCTAAACCCCTGAGCTCTGAGTCAGGAACACTTTCCATGGTAAAGAAAGGAGCAGAACGGGGAAGCAATGCAAAATTTACCTGCAAGAATCACATTGACAGAAACACATTTACTAAATAATTACAATTCATCCTTCTTTAGTGATGCAGTAAGAACTGTAGATGGAAAAAAACAAAGTATTAGTCAAAAATTAAGAAAAATTAAGAAAACTTTCAGATATTGTTTATTATTGATCTCATGCTGTTAGGTGGAATAGACATTTTGCAATGAAAACATTCTTTCATCATTAGAACAATGTATGAGTTGTGCTATGTGGCTGTATGGAAGTTGAACTTTAAACTGTTTGAAAGAGATTATAAGTACTTTAAGTCTTTAGTCTCAAAAACAAAATTATGAAGAAGTTGACAGAAAGTTAAAGAAGGAGAGAATGATGATGTAATACCTAATGTGGAGTTTGATCTAAGAGAAGATTGTAACAGTCCAATCAGAGCAGAGAACAAAAATAAAAGGCCTTTTGTGATCAAAGTGAAGGAAATTGATCTGATTGTCTCCTTTTTGTTTTCCTGTGATTTAATTTAACATTTGATCTTTACCATTTCCTTTGACAAACAGCAGAGGTTTCACTAAGTGATTCTCAGTTATCTCTTCCCTCCATTCTTTAAATAATCACAACTGGTGAGGCGTTGATAAAGAAAATACTGTATGTTTTTGTAGCAGGAAGACAAATGTAAGATTGTTTTGTGATTGAAAAAGAACAAAGCAGTTTATCAGTGGCACATATTTCTGTCTGCAGAGAGCAGCCAAAGGCTCGCTACAGTAAATCATTTTTATGCAACGTCTTTCCTTGTAAAGTAATTGTTTGGACGTTATAATTTTCCAGAGTTGTAATCTTATGGTCTTCCACTGAAGCTAACTTTAGCCTCACTTAACCCCGTTGCACAATTTGTGTATGAAAGCAGACGAATGGACTTTTGTGGAAGTTATAGATTCTTTGTGTTATAAAGACCCTTAAACAAAAAACTCATAAGAACTCAGAAATTAGAAACAACACATCATAAAGGATTTTCCCTGTTATTTTAACGGAATGACACACAGTTTATTTTTATTATTTTATTGATTTATGATGCCTTTTTTATGGTCTTCTGTTGATAACATCCACATTTCTGAATTTCCTGCTAAGATAAGTGATTTATATTTTCTATGGTGTGTAATCATGCACAGAGGTTAACATGACGCTGCAAGAATTTAAAGCTCTATCAACCAGTGAATCTTTAGTCCAAACTCCTAACTTGACCTGGGACGAATGGCAGTTCAGTCCAGATCCGGTCCAAGTCTTATTTTAGAACCAGCAGCCATGTGGGAGGGACCTGACCACAGGCAGCAGAATCAGAATCAGTTTTATTGGCCCAGATTGAAGACACAGCAAGGAATTTGACTTTGATTTCAAGTCCTCACAGCGTACAGATAATATTTATAAATACAGAGGAAGCAAAATAAAAGCTAAAGAAACAATTTAGAAATATATTTCTTTGTTCACCCAATATTTATCCATTTTTAATGGCATGTTGTGTTAGTGCAAATAAGCTGAAGGTAAAATCCTAAACCAATGTGTCCAGGATGTGTGGAGTCTGCTTAGATGTAATGAGACGAATTGTCAAAGCAAATTAAAACAGAGCGGAAGTCTGGGAAACATCTGCCTGTGAAAAGATCCTTTTACTAAAGATTTCTACCTGTCTTCAGGTATCTTTAACATTTACCTCAGTGGTTTTGGTATTACATGCCCTTTTTGCACTTTAACTCTAGTTCATGTATGTTCATTCAAATTCATAAAGAAAGGCTAGCTACTTGTTGAAGAGAAATAATTTTATCAAGTTTATGTAAAAAGAGTACTTATTGCCCTTTACTGTTAAATATCAGAGTTACAAGTGTAAACATAAAGACCTTCAATCCTGTCTTAAAATCAGATTTGAACATTTGAAAATACGTTTGAAAAGCCCTGATCTAAATATGTTAGGCATCATTCCAAAATAGAAAAATACTATGTAGATCATAAACAAAAAGCAAAATAGAGAAATTAAGAAACATTTTTTTTTTTTTACAATTTGCACCTGGTTTAGTTGTCATTCCGCTCTGTTTTGTAATTAAATAATATAACAAAAATGAAAACAATAATAAAATTACATAAAGGCAGTATAAATAAAATATATTATTATTATTATTGATAATGATTACAATAATAATAATAATAGACTAAATGAAAGATATAACAATTTGATTTGCTGAGTTATTTTTTTGTATCACTAAACATTAAAAGCGAGTTTGCCATGCACAATATGGCGGACGCGCTGACGCATTTTTCTCTTTGACATTGGGCGTCTGTCTTGTTTCCGACACCAAGTAAACGTAGCAGTTGTGCTGCGTCACGTTGGCAGAGACCAATCGGATTAAACTGAGCTAAAACATGCAGGAGAAGTCAGAGACAGGGCGAGGGGGTGAGACACAATTTACTAACAAAAAATAAAGTTACAAGTTCGTAAACGACAGTTTATGCTTCATATAGGGACTATTTTCATTGTTCTTTGTAGTTTTAAATGACTGTTTGTAGAAGTTTGTCTCTTGGTTCGGTGATTTTTAGCTAACAACTGCTAACTCCCCCTCCATGGTTGCCGTTATGGTCTGGACCGATCGCTCTGTGTCAGTTTCAAGTTGCGCCTTCTCTCTCTACTGTTCTCTGCTCTCCTCCGGGCTCAACGGCCAGAGCTAATTCATATCATCATTGTTTTTATTCCCTCATAAAACGCTGACGTTCCCACGAAAATGGATTTATTCTTACCGCATCAGAGTGGATTTTAACCGCTGAAGGATTCGGAGGTAGGATGACATTCCTCCCGCCAGCCGGACTAACGCGGTGTGTTTTCCTTAGGTTGCCGTGGGATCAGTGGACTGCACCTTTTGCACGTTTGGCAAATTAAACGCGCTGGTGATTTTTAATGCAGCCACTAAGGATTTAACTGCATCCACTTGCAATAAATCTGACATGTCCTATTATCTACATTACACATGCACGTTTCCCTGCTTGTGCATTGCTCTGGTTATCTGCCAGCCACGGTTTTAATGGGACAGCCTGTGGAATGTGTTGCATGGTGACAGCAAGCGGTCTCATAATGAAACATGAAGTGTATGTTTTGTGTTTGCAAATAAGAAATGAGTAATGCAGGGGCAAGGTCATAAAGGCGTCAAAAACAATCTGGTTTTAGCAGAATTTGATATCTAAGGCTGTGCAATGTTTCGAAGTGTTTATCTTATTTGCATCAATAACAGTTACAGCATATGGACAGATGTCTGTAATAACTATTAATAGGCATGTTTTCAAATGAGCTGCATGTCAGAACAATCTATTTCAAATGAAAGCATCAACGTAAATTTTACACAATGCCAAGATGAGATGGGTGAGGAAACCTTAGTTGTCTGCAGTGTTTTAAAACTTGGAATTATGTGCTGCTGTTTGTATCCTGATTTACTTTAAAACCTCGAAAGTGTTGTAAACGGAAATCAGAAAAATGGCTTAATTATGTTTTCTTGAAGTCTTCAGCAAATATTAGAGATCATTTTGTGTTTTGTGTAAATGATCTTCGGCAGCCCCTTTATTTAGCCTAAAGGTAATTTTTGTTGGGAAAAACATTTGTAACAATGGGAAACTATTCGGGATAAAATGGTACTACTTGTGGGATTCGCTACAGATTTAGTCACATTCTTACTGTAGTTGAAGAGTGATTCTTGAGAATAGGGACAAAACAGGTCATATGGATAAAGTACAAAATTTGAATAAAATATACAACAAATATAATTCTTTCAAATATCTGATTAAACTAACCTTGGTCATGTGAGCACAGCAATGTATATTTTCCTGGTGTTGGCTGAATATTTTTTTTTATTTTAAACATTGTAGTTGGTGGATGATGGCT